ACTACTACTACTCCTACTACTATTACCACTACTCCTACTACTACTATTACAACTACTATTACAACAACAACTACTACTACTACTACTACTACTGCCTCTGTTGCTGCTGCTAGTACTACTACTACTACTACTACTGCTACTACTACTGCTACTATTACTACTAGTACTACTATTACTGCTACTACTACGGCTACTGCTGCTACTACTACTCCGCTCTTGCTGCTCCGACCCGGCCTATGCCTGCGACTGCTAGTGCCGCCAACATTACCGGTAATGACGATATGCTGGTGATGCTGTATGACAATGGTCCTGCATGTACCAGGTGCGAGTGGGACGGCGGCTCACTTTGCCGCTGTCTAGGAGATGGAGCTCCTTGCGAGTTCGATATTACAGGCTTTTGTGGTGACGTCAGTGGCAGTGGCGGCTCGCAAGATTGGAAAGTCGCTTCAGACTTTCTTGCGGGGACCGGCATGGACGCGATGGTTTGCCTCTTCCTCTTTTTCGCTGTGACCTTTACACTGGTGACCGCAGGTTTGCTGCTTTGCTTTTGCTGTTCATGTTGTCCGCAATATGGCCGCAAGTCAGCCAACAAACCGATCGGAGCAGGCACGATTGATGTTAAGGTTTGATCTGGTTGGCGACTGCCATCTTATTCTCAACAGTTTAAGAAGGCCCCGCCACAGTCATGTGCTTGCGGCCTTTCAGCGAGAACGTCCAATTTCAATGACATGGGGGGCCGTACTTTAATTCGGGACCTTACGAAATGCACGGAAGCCGTGCAGCCACGTTCGTGGCCTGTAAAGCTGCACGGGTTCACAACATGTAGAGTGTAGATCTTCGTGTTTTCATTGGACCGAGTTGTTCGCCACTTTGAGCCATGAACAGAGAATCTGGCCCTGACCATTGAATGCAGTAGTGGCACAGGACACTGATCTCGAAGTCAACGATCTCAGCGTCGGAATCCTGTACGAAAATGCTCTTGCCAATGCCCCCAAGATGTGACGAGTCCTGTTGCGCCTGCATGTGGCTGTGCCCGAGTTGTCACGAGATTCGCTCCACCTCCCCACACGGACTGTGCACAGTTGACTCGGCCGGGCAAGGAAGGAGCTTAGGGCTCGCTACCTCGCTCGGATCGCCTCGACCTAAACTGACGCCTTCCACCTATCTTGCAGAGGCCCACAGCTGTCGGCAGCCCGCAGCAGAAAGGTAGCCTCAAGCCTATAAAGCCCCAACAGCTTACAACCGGCGCTCGAGTGGCTCTAGCCAGCTTTCGACAGCTTGCCTTTCGCCAGGTCTTGGTGTTGCCGCACTGTCAGGAGAAATGTTGCGAACATAACGTTTGGGGTTCCGGACTAGAGCTCAGGGTGTATAGATGCTGGGTCCAATTTGAAGATCAAGGCAGGGGGCTTCTTTATTCCATGTGCCTATCCCGTGTTTCATGTTGACGGTCGCTTCGTGCCTGGGGCTTTGCATTCGCTAAAGCAGCTTGGATCCAAGGTCCCAAAGTCGAAAGCCCTCAACGGCTGTCACTTCTTCTGAGCCCGAACTTTCTGCAGATCTTCAGCAATCTTTTGGTTTCATTCATCCGGCCTGTGCTTCACAAGCATTCGACCTGCGTGGAAGGACCACGCGGCCCAGCTTTGTGCTGCAGCTGCGCAGGGTGAAGTAAGCGAGGTCGGGCTGTGGAGCGTCGATTTCTGTGACAATTTCTGCGCAGAGTGTTGGATTGGGCGGTTCAACTCTGGGGTTCTGAGTTTGGCCTCGTGGTTTCCGCTTGGGCTGCGGCTGTAGTCGCTTCGCGGTCTGATATTTTGAGAGAATTCTGGATCCGGAGTGGTTCGGGCTGCGCTGACTGTAATGCTGCATGCTGTGGCACTTTGAGTTTCGATGACAGGGCTTAGCGTGATCTAGAAGCTAGACGTGGAGCCATGGGTTGGTGTTCTTTTACGTACTGGCCATCGGGAAGATGTGACCAGGATTACATGTGTTTGCTGCATTCGGAGGCATCGGGCACAAGTTTTTGATTGATCAAGAGCTCAAGGCGCATGTAGTTTTTGAGTGTCAATGAGATGGTGGCATGATGGTGATTTGTGGCTTTGTTTCTGTGGTGCGGGGTTATACTTGCCCTGCAATTCAGGCTACAGTCTAAACTGCGCGAGGAGTTTTGCTGCAAGTGCAAAGAGACTTGCAACCCCTTTCGCTCGACGCCCCTCAGGCTAAGGCCTTTTGTGAGACCTTTCCCCCGAAGGTGCGGCGCCTCCTGGAGCTGCCGCAGGACTTCGAGAGATCAGCGTTTCGCTTTGGTCATGGAACATCACCTGTTTGTGCACATGTTTGCTTCTTTTATTTCAGGATCCCAACGTGGGACCTTCGGATGGTCGATTCCCGCTGCTGCACGCCGCGTCGCACGGCCATCTGGAGGTCCTTCGATGCCTCGTCGAGGCCAGTGCCAACCTGGACAAGGCAGATGCGGTTGGAAACACTCCCTTGGTGAGTGCCGCCGCAGAGGGCCACCTGGAAGTGGTGAAGTTTTTGGTGGAAGGTGGGGCAAGCAAAGAGATGATGAATGCTGCACATGCTAGCCCGCTCCGGATTGCAGCTGGGGCAGGCAACGTGGAGGTCGTACGTTGCTTGGTGGAGACGAGGGCAGACGTGAACCGATGCGATGTGGAAGGTGTAACTCCGGTGATGGCGGCCGCGATGCGAAACAACACCGATATCATGAGCTGTCTGCTTGCTGCCCGGGCCGACGTGAATCGAAGTGATGCAGAGGGTGTGACTCCTCTGCTGGCTGCTGTGGTACGTGACAACCTCGAGGCCGTACACTTTCTGGTGCAGGCGGGTGCAGACAAAGAGACGATGGACTCTACCAGACTCACGCCTCTGCTGATTGCTGTTGCGAAAAGAGATGCGTCGATGGTGCAGTGCTTGATCAATGCAGCGGCAGACGTCGACAGGCCTGATGGCCATGGTATCACTCCTCTGTGGGTTGCAGCAGCCCGTGGCGAAGTCGAGATTGTCGAGTGTCTTATCCGTGGTGGTGCGGACAAGAACAAGAAGGACGCACCGGAAGGAGTGACTCCCTTGTGGGCAGCCGCTGCACGTGGTAACATCGAGGTGGTCAGGTGCCTGGTGGAAGCAGGAGCTGCCAAGGAGGAGGCAGATTGTCATGGCGGCACACCTCTTTGTGCTGCAGCAGCCGAAGGCCATGTCCCTGTCATCGAGTATTTGATTGCTGCTGGAGCAACCGTTAATGATCAAAGAAACGGAAGCCGCTTCACTCCTTTACTGAATGCCTGCGCGCGTGGGAGCACCGACGCCGTCCGCTGCCTTCTGCGAGCGAAGGCAGACAAAGAGTTGGCGGACGCAGCTGGAGTGACCCCTCTCTGGGCAGCAGCTGCTCGCGGCCACGCGCCTATTGTTCAGTGTCTCATCGTCGCTGGGGTTCCTCTGGATATGGCGCCATGCCTCGAAGCAGCCACGCGAGGACACTCCGAAGTTGTACAGCTCTTCAGAGATGCAGGACTGTGCGTGACCGCGGTGTCTGGTCAGGATGCGGAGGGCGAAGAACACAGAAGCCAGAGCCAAGACGGCCCAGAGCAGCCTTGCAAGCGCCGCAGGCAAGCGTAACTGGTGCGTCGATTCACCATGGCAGAAAGCTGTCAAGGACACCTCCAGAGCCTTCCGGAGTCAAGACCATCCGACTGGTCCATCAGACGTGCTCAGGTAGTCTACGGGTCAACTTTTAGAGATGGCCTGGTCTGGCACATGTAGAGGTGCTGTATGCGGCGTGCGAGGTGTCTTGGCCGTTGTGCCCCTACAAAGCCCTGGACTGCCAGGCTGCGAATCTCGCGGCCAAATCCCTGCTGAGTCCTGGCCCCAACAGGGCTGGGCAGGGCATGGCAGGCAATGGCCTGGCCTCTTTCACCTCGGGCTAGTGATGGGGATGTTCGGAGTCCAATGGCGTAATGGCTGCGTGTTGGGATGCTGGCATGAGGCCACAAGGCACCTCAGATAAAGTGTCGCCAGACCCCGGAGCACAAGCATCAGGTGCATGTGGGCGGTGCTCTTTCTCATAATTCCGCTGTCGCTGGTTGATATTGAAGCTGCGATTACATAGTGACCCCCGCATCGTGCCTAGGGTTGAGCTCTGATGCGCACCTCGCAAGCAAGGTTCCATCGGCGCAGAGCTCCTCTGGCTGTCGCTTACAGGGTTTGGGAAATCTATGCTACTTTTGACGCTGCAGGGTTTAGCTTCGAATATCCCTTTGAAAAGTCATGTCGAAGTTGATCAGTTTATCAAGGTTTTCCGCGGTGCACACACACAGAGAGACATACGTTTGCTCCCGTTTCGGAGCTGCCGGGGTGCAGCAAAGCTCTGGGTTTTGTGATTGGACTTTTCGGGATCAGGTAGGCTTCAGCTTCGCAAGCTTGCCAAGAAGAAAGGCTTCCTCTTGAAGCCGACGGAGCTTCCCGACTTTTCCCCGACAGTTTACTATAGGGTTCTTGTTAATTGAAAGAGATTGCCGGGTGGCCACTCCTGCGTTTTCTCCTTTTCTTTGCCCTATGTCTGTGTTGTCTCCATGCAGTTGGGACGCTGCTTGTCTACCGTTGTCTTTGTCTCCCCTTGTCTCTGCTTGTCCCCCCTCACACGCGACGGGTGACGGGGTGCGGCGCATGGCGGGGCTTTCAACTTGTCCCCCTGTCTCCTGAAGTTGGCCAGTGCCTGTGTCTTCGGCACTTGTCTCGCCTTAGCTCCTCTTCGTGTGGGCTGAATGTCCGGGTTTCGACTGTTGTTCTGCAAAGCACAAATTATAGCATCTCCCCGTCTGCGTTTGTTTTGCCTCTGTTCTCCCCTTGTCTCTCCCCTTGTCTCCCTTCACCGCCGCAACCCACTACGCCACACTCCCCACCCATGGAGCCCTTCACCACCACCCACCCTAATGCCCATCCCACCCCGACCAAGCTAAGCGTGTCCGATGTGCATGGCGCGGTGCCTGTGGTGTTGCCTGTGTTCTTGGTCGGGTTCTTTGCCCCACAACCTAACCTGCCCAAAGATCATCATGGCGATCACGGAGCACATGCAGGCTACTGTTGACATGTTGAGATGCGAAGTTGCCCCCGCATGTCGAGAACGGGGAATGTGACACGGACAGGTCCAATACCAGCGACTATTGGCATTTTTACATCGAGATGACTTTCCCATTCTCCGACAACGATGACTGTCACGAAGAGCGTGCCAGTAGGGGCCAGGGACCCGCGATCATGTGGTAGGCTTGTTGGAGTGTCGGGAGAGATGCACTTGTGTCATAGACAGCCTTTCGAATCTCAGCGAAGTCCTGTACGGACCAGCAACCGCCAAGACCTGGAACAGAAAGCGGAACAGAACTTTGATTTCCGTAACATATCGACACTGAGAGATGTTCAACATGAACTAGGCTGTGTCCGATGCCAGGATCGGGGTGGGGATGCCGGAGCCACCCCCTCAGCAGACAGATCCGCCACCGAAAAGGCAGGGTTCTGGATGCAATTCGGACACACATGCTATCGAATGTTCTATTGCCTGAGCCTTCTAATGCTACCAGGAGCACTTCGAAACATTGCAAAGCGAGTTGCTTCACTGGTTTAC